TCTGAGAACAATATAAATGACGACCCCATAAATAATAAACGGCCAAGATACATGTATAATTATTCGAATACGTGACAATAATGACCCCCATAAATACTGATAAGGTCAAACTTTGAGCCTACGGTTCTACACCTAAAAAAAAAAAAAAACTTTTCGCCATTCTTATATGTAAAAGGGGGTATAATTGATTCTCTTCGGCTTATTCTCTTCACCGTTATATCCAGTTTTAAACGATAAAATGCTATTCCACTCGTAGAATTCCATAATCCGGTGTATACAATTTGCTCCCATCACACCGTTAAAACGGCGACATGATTGATGAGCCCGTGCTGAAATTCGTGAAAAATGTTGACCACTTTAGTCAACTTTTACGTCGTGCAATATGTAACAAAATGGGTTCTTCTTTCGTAGTTTCTGCCATTTTCGCTTATATTATGGTGCATATGGGCTCTTAACTTAATTCATATTGATGTACTTAGGTTCGTATAGTATGTTGAGTACATAATCGATTTTATATATATTCACCATTCGCCAATGAAAAGAAGTGTTACGCGCTTAATCTATACACCTAGATGTGGAAGAGAAAACAATTCTATAATTCATACATATATAAACAACATATCGCCACTCCTAACATTTTCTAAAGGGAAAGGAAGAAACACAATGATGTTGCTTGTGAAACTCTCTATATTTATTTGTGCCCTGTGTTTTGGGCAAATTGCTGACTGTGTATGGAACAAACAACTGCATCTTGCGTGTTTTTACGTTTATTATGACAAGCTGCTAACTGCTTCATAGCAACTATAAACCGTCCTACCATTTGCACGCTCTACATCCATGTATACATACACCATAACAAACCCATGTATTCCCCCTTTTTTTTATATTCTTGTCAGGCAAGTACAATAGGCACATCCTCGGCTAATGGAACAAGCCAATGTGGCACAGATGTTGGAACTGCGGCTGCAAGTACAATTGCAACGACCAGCGTGTCGTTGAGTGATGGCACGGATGTAGGCAAACGGGGTCAACGTAATTTTTACGACGGTCGCCCTGCAGGTAGTCCCGTGAAGAACACACTGTTCGATGACATGCGCAGAAAATTTAAACCCAAGGTGCACGTCAAGAATCCAGGACCTGTAAAGAAGAGGCCACAGGTTGGAACAGCGAAGAACAAGCTGAAGGAAGTTTGTCAGAAATTGACACATTGTAAAATGGGGAGAAAGGCATGGTCAATATTTATAGTAGTCGCCACAGTCTTGTATCCAGTACTGCCGTCCGTGGTACAAGCAAGTGCGATGGCGTTGGGGGCAGCAGCAGACCCCGTTGTGAGTGTCATCGCCATGGGTGGAAGTCCCATGCTGTGTGCAATTATATATTTTTGTGTGCTAGTATGTTTCTGCTGCTCTAAAACAGGGAAATGTTTACTGGATAAAATTTGGAAGAAGAAGAAGAAGAAGGAGGAAGCTCCCACAGAAACGAAAAACAACGAAGGAGAAGAAAATAAGAAACCGGAGACACCCGGGAAGCAGAAGGTACCTGGAAAACCAGAAGTACCTAAGAAGCAGGAAGCATCTGGGATATTAGAGGTACCTAAGAAACCAGAAGTACCTGAGAAGCACGAAGCACCGGGCACAGCAGGAGAATCCGAAAAACTGGAAGCACATAAGAAACCAGAAGTACCAAAGACACCGGACGCACCCAAAGAAGCGGAAGCACCTAAGAAAACAGAACTACCTGAGAAGCAGGGAGCATCTGCAAAATTAGATGCACCTAAGAAACAGGAAGCGCCTAAGAAACAGGAATCACCTAAGAAACCGGAAGCAGCTGAGAAGCAAAAAGCACCGGGGAAGCTGAAACTACCGTGGTCACTGAAATTACCTAAAAAACCATAGGTACGTGCCGTATTCTATTTCTCGTAGATTATGTTGACGTTAGGATATGTTATTCGTCTGGTTACAGGATCGACAATCTCATGAGGTCCTACAGATTTTGTGTGATAGGCATATGTTTCCCTTAAAGCATATATCCTATAATTCCGTTTTGTACGTTATAAATGTTGTTTGTGCTCTTACCAACATACATGGTTTGTGTTGATGTTGTATTGTCTGTGCAAATTATGAGTTTTTTTCCTGTTATTATGGCTAGGATACACATTTGAAAGAACAAAAGAAGAAGGCGTCCAGTGTCGTGCATATATAGAGATAGAAGAATTATTGTATATCATAAATGTAAAAAACAGCACAGTATGATTACCATTGATTTATTATGTAACGGGTGTATTTTTATATTATGTGGAAAGTTCGTGTCCCCGTGGTTCGTTTCTGTCGAACACTTCACAAAATTCAGACACCTAATGAATATCGCCCCTTTACGACACTATAAGTATTCGCATCATAATAACAACATACCTTGCGTAGCATATTATGTGGACGCATATAGTGATGCAAGGTCCGCTACAACATCATCTACAGGTACAGGCGCCCTGAAGGGGGACAGGGTATACACCTCGTTCCACGTGTCAAATATCTTGGAGCAATTGTCCACATATAATTCGTTATGCATAAATTCGTAAACTGGTGGCTCATACTCATGCCCGCTGTAGTGCACACTCATGGTCGTCACCGAGCCGGGGCCGTGCTCTCGGCAATGGTGCATTGCGCTGAGCGAAGATGTGCTATGTGGTTGGTGGGTGTGGTGCCCGCGCGTTATGTCCATGCGGCACGGTAGTGTGCATGAATGCGTGATACACGCGGGCCACGGTAGGCGTGCGTGGCGCGCCATGCGCGGGGGCGCATGACCAGCATACATGATGCTGCTGCAGCTAATGATGGCTGCGCGCGGGTGCCACCCGTTGTGTCTCGACTCGCTCTGCGCGTTCGCCCTGTCGCGTGGTGTTGTGCGCGGAGGGCGCGGTACCGTGGGCATCGTCCCATGCTGTATGTCTCTTATGTCTTCGCGCTGCAGGCACCCTGCGTGTGCCGCCTGCGCTCGTGTGGCCTGCGTCGTGGTTGTGTTACGCGCGCTGGCTGCTGCTGCAGGCTTGTGCTGATGCTGGGTACATGATGCGCCACGCGGCCTTGTGTTCCAGGCGCAGGGTTCTATACTGCGCGCGCGGTGCTGACAGTACTGTGTCCCGCGGCGCGAGCACATGCTGCGACGGTGGTACAGGCTGCGCATAGTGCTCGCGCGTGGCGCCCGTGTTCGGCTAATGTTCGTGCATCTGATGCATGCGCCTGCCGTGTGCATCTGATACCACGCGCGCGCACTATGCGCAGCGTCTACCACCGTCGCACCATGTGCTCGTGCACTCTTGGTGCCTGCTGCACATTGTAACTTACGCTTTTGGTGATCCCATCTATTGTGCGCCACTGCTTGCTGTCATGTTGCCGCCTGTGATTCGGCTACTCCTGCGTCCGCTACACCTGCGGCGTGTAAGCAGCATTCTTCTATTGCTGTTCTGCTGCGCTTGTTGCGCATACCGTTTCATGCCCTACTCGTGCCGCCGTGCCTGCGCGCCTGCTCCGCGCGCTCCGTGCTTTCCAACTGCTTGTGCTTCCCGCACGTTGCACTGCATTCCCGGCGTGTTCCGCACTTTTTCCAGCATCCTCTCCCATCGCACGCGCTTTTTTCACCTTTGTGGGTTCGTGCTGCCCGCGTCCTGTGCTTGCGCTTTTTGCTGCTCTACATGCCGCCGTTTGCAGTTGTTTATGTTTTGGTGCACTCATGTTCACTCAGTTCCGCGCGCGTTGTGCTGCTTCTGTTCCTCTTGTTCACCACCGCGACGTGCTGTGGCATGCGATTGTCCATGGCCCTTTGTCCATTGCATCGCGCACTCGCGCGTATCATTTACGCTTTTGTCACATGTGCCTGCATCCACTTCCGGCCTTCTGTTTGTTCTACTTTGGGCTTTTATGCATGTCGCGCTACTTCACTTTTTTTTTTTTTTTTTTTTTTTTTTTTTTTTTTTTTTTTTTTTCCCTCTCATCACCCTCGTGCTGCCGCTGTTCCCTTTTTGGGTGCTGCTGTTGTTTTCTTGGTTCTACACCTGCCTTTCTGCCTTTTACTTTTTTACTTCGGTTTTCAATTTGCGCTTATATCCTTCGTTCTTTTTTCTTCTGCCGCGCATGTTCATATTTACTGTTTTTCGATTTTTTATTTTATTTTATTTTTTTCTTTTTTTTCTCCTTTTTTCTCTTGTTTTTCTTTTTTTTTCTCCTTTTTTCTCCTTTTTTCCTTTTTTTCCTTTTTTTCCCGTTGTTTTCCCCCCCTTTTCCTCCTTTCTTTGCTATCCTTCTACTGCATCCCTTTTTCATTCCCTTTTCCTGCATGCTTCCTTTGCGCATTGTTCCTGCGACGCTTTCGCCTTTTTCATATGCATTCCTGCACGCTGCTGCTCCGCAGCCCCTTTTGTTCACTGTTGTCACGTATCCTTACCCTTGCATGGCCTTCCTATGCTTTTTTCGCGAATTCACTTCGTGCATCGCACGCCTCTTTGGGTTTGTTGTTTTTTTGTGTTGTTGCATTGCATGCCTAATCTGCGCGCTCTTCGCATTTTTTATGCTTCTGTTCTTTCTCCTTTTGCATTCGAATCCAGGCTGTTGTTCGCTCCACGCGCTTATTCCATTGCCTGCATGTTGCACCTGCGCGCGCATCCATCTTTTATTTTCCACTACCTCTCATACTATTTGTCATCTTCGGCGTCCACGCCATTGCATCCGTTCATGGTTTTGCGTTTGCATGCTGCATGCATATGGCCTCCGCGCACACCATCGGTCTGCCTGCACCGCGTATTCGACGTCGCAGCCCCTCACACGCGGCTCCAGTGTACGCCGCAGCCGAGATTGTCTCTCCGAGCAAGCGCCACGACCAACGTGGCCCAGTAAGCACGGCTATTGTGTGCGAGCAACCGCGGCCAAGTGCAACACGGATTCGAAGCAGGATTGTCCTAGTGCACGACATTGCCTCCGCGTGTAAGAAGGCGCAGAGATTGTCTCTCCGAGCAAACGCGGCCGATTCGACGACGTAGCCGAGCACACGTGACCGATTGTAACAACGGGTTCTGCGACGTAGCCGAGTGTAAGAACGGAGGGAGAGATTGTCTCTCCGAGCAGACGCGTCGACCACAGCGGACCAGGGCCACACCGATTCGACGACGGCTTGTCCGAGTGTAAGAAGGAGGACAGATTGTCTCTCCGAGCAAACGCGGCCGGGTAAAGGAGATTGTCTCCGAGTACGGGAGTTCGCGGGACGGATTCGCGTGAGGGAGAAGACAGCGAGGGGCGGAGGCGAAGGAACACACGTATTTTGTGGGAGGGCGAACAGCGTCGCCAACAACGGCAGCAACAACTGCAGAAGCATTGATGTTGTTGTTCGTTTTAGGTGTACGCACAGAGAGACACAGTGTGTGACAGGCGTTTAGTGGAGACCGGTGTAAAAAGGGGGCAGTGTATCTTCATGACGTGTTGCTTGTGCACGGTAGTGTAGTGTAGTACTTTTTTTTTTTTTTTGCTTTTTTCTTATAGTTTACGTGGGGAACATTGTTCATGTATGACAGTGAGAGAGACTCTGCTTTCTATTGCGTAGAGAATGTTGTTATCAATTTGTAGAGGTATGTCTTTTTTCTTTCACTTGTTACATTTGCTTTTCTTTTGCATGAGTATTATTTATTTGGACTATAGTTAAGGTGTGCTCTGTGGTGCAGCATTCTCTTGGGGACACTCATTTGAGCATATTTGTATCCTTGGGAAAATAGTATTCTGTGGGTCACTGTTTCCCAGTGTAATTGTTGTATGGCCGACTTATTTATGTTGTATGCTTCAAGCAGTGGAAGTGTTCTTTTTTCATTGTTGTTTTTGTTTTTCTGCTATTGCATAAGATATTATATACGTAGAGTACGAAATATATGTACACATACCATATAAGAGAGGACATTCGTTTTTTGTTAATTTATAATAAATCTTTATATGACGAGATCCGTGAATACACATATATATGGAAGTATGAACAGGGAGTAGTAACGTTCGGTCATTAATATTAAATATGTAAAACAGGACAGTACGCTCAGGGGACTTAACATTGTTTACACCAGATATAACAATATAATGGCAGCCTTACTAATACAACTTTTAGATACATATATAAGGGAGAGAAAAATAGACCTGCGACAAGACGGGCAGGATGCTGCCGTAAGTTATTATACTAGTAACATGGAGTACAGAGTGTCGTATTAGTATATACATGTCATATAGAATTGTAGGAAAGTTCCGTATGTTCCATATATACATGGGAGTAGTATTCATGTGCATGCTGCATTTATGTAGGTCGTAGATATATGTATGAAGGCTCGGGAATTTTATATATGCCCACGTGCGACGCACAGAGAGGGCAGTTGAGCATAGTGGAGTATGTTTATATGTGTGTGTGAATTATTTCACGTTGTAGGAAAAATTTTGGACTGACGTGAAACATGTATACAACAAATTTGTGAGGCATATGGAGACAAGCGATGAGAACGAAATGTACACAACATTATGTGCAGAATCTGCTAAGCACCGGGGGACAGACAATATGGCGCCGGGGGATAGCATTGTGTGTGAATTTATGCTTGGGGCTTTATTGTTCAAACATGCGTCTTATATTTTGGACAGGGAAATAGGTGAAGCAGGAACTGCAGGAAAGAGGAATATAGAGCAAATGGATGAGTATATTAGATGTATGGTAGTGAATGTATTTATAAAGATTATATTAGGAGAAGAATGTTGGGACACCACGGGCGCGGAATATGCATATGACGCAATAGAAGGTATGTTAGAGGGAAGTACAAATAGACACGGGAATAATATATGTGACAGCGTAGACTTCACTATCACGAAAGTGGTAGGTCGAAATTTAGCGCACCAAATGAGAATGTGGTGGCAGAAACAACAAATAGCACCGGCTACAGGCCAAGATGTGGGGATCTTGAACAGCAAGTGTAAAGGATGGAGGGAGAAAGGAACAGAAGGCGGTGGAACGCATACACTGAATGAGTTAAAGCCGCAACTCAAGGAACAGTTGCACGACAGGTTGCACAAATCACAGGCAACAATCGAGACCACAGTGGAGACAAAATTGACAGAAATAAAACGGGACGGAAAACCCCCTGCCACACCGGCCACGGCGGCTACGCAGCCGCCTGGACCACCAGTACCACCAGGTAAGGACCGATGGGGAGAAAGCACCAATACGGCACGCACACCAACACGGCCCAACACGTATTATACGGCCGCCACCGATACGAGTGCGCACATGGATGCCGCCACAACAACATGCACGCGGTGACAGCACTGCACACGCCTTCGTTGACGTTGAGCAGCGACGAGTGTGTAGACGAGGTGTGCGGCGGCGGCATCACAGTGGTGTGACAGTGGTGTGTGGGATGGAGCGGCAGCGACGAGGCACCGCACGAGGGATGCAGCGGTCACGACGGGAGCGGTAGCGGTACCGGTAGCGACGACGGCAAGTATGTAGCGACGGGAGCGACCGAGATGACGGCAACAACAAATAAAAGTTGTACTGCTATCACCTCCGTCCACCGAGTGCGCCCGCCTTTATTCCTGTCTTTGTCCTCTTCTAACAACGTGCGCGCTCACTAACACCGTCCCGGCCCCTTCTGTCTACTACTTGTGTCGCTTTTTTATCTTCTGTTCATCTTCCTTTCTTCCATCCCTCATTGCAGGAACGACACCGGCAGATGCAGGAGGAGGACACCAGAAAGGGCAGAAGCCGTCGGCACCATCAGCAGGAGAGACCACACCAGGGACATCGCAGGATGACACAGGTGAGGCCGCGTGTAAGGAAAATCTTGGGAAGGGCCCACAGACATTGGGTTCAGTAATTATAAGTCCCGCATGCACATCGGGCGAAGCCTTAGGAAAAAAACCGGGTCTTACGGACAAAGCGAACTCACAACCCACGACGCATGATAATGGTAAAGTGCACTACGATTCACAGGCGTGCATCTGCAATACTTGATGCGTGGGATAGCGTGCGACCGAAAACACAAACACCACCCGCACACAAAGTTTCCGCAGCGCGCGGGAGAGACAACACGGAGATAACACGGAGAGAGAGAAACCAAACGTCGCATGAGAATGACGCGGCGAGAGCGTCAGCGGGCAGAGCGACGGGGCGAGCCAGACTGCCGCGCCCGGTAGAGCGCTGGGTCGCCGCGGGATGTAGACGTCGACGTAGACGTCGACAGACAGACCGACACACACACTGTGTGTGTTGTGTGTTGTGTGTTGTGGGAGAGAGAGAGAGTCTTTTCCTGGAGTGGCACCAGCCAACCACCGTTCGCCCCGTGTCCCCGACGCGTGGCCGTGCCCCCCGTCCCTGTATCGTCACTCGACCGGCGGTCACCCGTGGCACCAGTGGTGCCAAGCGTGTGGTCGATCGACCATGAGAACCGTGGTCAACGACCATGGGCAACCATGCAACTCACACCCTTCATTTGCGTCTTTCCACCCAAATTCTCAGATAAAGATTCTACTGAGAACACTCCTACACCCCCCGTAGCAGACCCAGCTGCAGGAAAACCATCAGCATCAACACCAACAGCTCCATCCGGTGACTCCGGTGCAAAGGGTACAAACGGTGCTTCCGGTTCACCAGCGCAGGACGGTGAACCCGGTCCTTCCGGTCCCACAGGTGAAAAAGGAGAAGCCGGTAACAGTAGTGGGCATGCCGTCGTCGATGGCGGTAACGATGACCCCCCTCCTCTCAATCCACCCAAACCAAAACCGAATCCGAACCCAAATCAATCGGGTAGTACTGCCGTCAGCAGCGGCGAACAATCCTCAGGAGGTGCTGCAAGTGGTGCTTCTGGCGGGGAAGGTAAAGCCGGAGGTGCGGGTGGTCCAAAGGATGGTGGACCAGGTGCTGGCGTTGGTGCTGGTACGGGTGGTAGTAGTGGTGGTGGTGCAGGCGGTGGAGCAGGTGGTAGCGGCACTGAAGTTGGCACCCCTTCCGTTGCGCCCGGCCTTAGATGGGAAGATGTCAAGTGGTACACCCCCGCCATCATTCCCGCGGTGGTTGGTATTGGGCTCATTGCGTTCTTCCTATGGAAGGTAAGTATATATGGCAATCACGGAATGCCGCATGTGCAGACTGTTTATACCTCTGAACATCCCGCCGGGTTCCAATATATGATAGTTCTAATCCATATACTGCTACACTCTCGTTCATTCCTTTTATCCTACCGTCCTCACCCTCCTCTTTACCCCCCTTTTTGTGCTTAGTATTTTGCGTACCTCGCCAAACGACGACGAACATATCGAACCGTTCGTGACGTGCCGTCACCGCCACTCGACGAAGAAATTCTAGACCATCTACAACGCGGCGAACTGCCGCCACCCGATTACGGTTACACCTTGATTAGGGATCGGCAACCTTCGTCAATATCCGGTAGCGCACGCCCACCACGCGTGCATAAGGGCACGATCATCGAACTACACTTAGAAGTGCTCAACGAATGTGAAGTGACCGAATGGCAAAACGTCAAAGACGACTATTTGCACATACTCGTTGAAGAGTTCATGTGGGGCAACAACGGACATAGTAGTTCCTTGGATGCTCCTACCACAAACGAGGGTTTATCAGGGACCAATGTTGCCTCCACCGTGGATCCATCCACTGACTCGGACGCATCTCCACCACATGAAGATGACCCATGGAGTCGTATGCAAACTATACCGTTAGCAACGGACCGTTCTCCACCGAATGAAGACGACCCCGATCCATGGCGTTGTATGGAAACAATACAGTTAGAACCGGATCCTTGTCCCCATAATGAAGATGACCCATGGAGTTGTATGGAAACGATAGAGTTAGCAACGGACCCTTGTCCTCCTAATGAAGAGGACCCCGC